TTTTCAGATATTTTTACTCATAGCATTCAAGGATGCTTCAGAAAGTTTGTGGAAAAGTGGACTTAAATGATGGGTTTATTTTGGTGCAAAAGATTTTGAAATCTATAATTATTCCACAAAATGTATCTTCCATAAACTTTTTGAAGACCCCACTGTTTTAAGTCCCCTTATATAGTTTGGTTGTATCTAGTACAATACACTAATATTTCCATGTATATACTATATATTGTAATGTATATATATTTTAATACCTTACTATAATGTGAATTTATCCCAAAACTAAGTATTCTTCTGTTTTATACTTTCAGTGGTTACATGATGACATTATTTGAAATTATCATTATATGTGTGTAATGTACATATGTACCAATATGTATATTGTGTGTGTATATATATACACATAAACCTATACATATATACAGGTTAAGCATCTTGAAAATATGAAATCTAGAATATGAAACTTTTTGGAATGCTCATGTGATGCTACAAATGAGTAATTCCTCATGTAACCTTATGTGACAAGTGCAGTCAAAACATAAGTGCACTAAAAAGATTGTGTAGGGGCCAGCACTGTGGCTTAGTGGGTTAAACCACTGCCTGTGGCACTGGCATTTCATATGGTGTTGGCATCCTGGCTGCTCCAGTTCTAATCCAGCTCCCTGCTGGTGCACCTGGGAAGCCAGCTGAGGATGGCCAAGTGTTTGCACCCCTGCACCCTTGCGGGAGAAATAGAAAAAGCTCCTGGCTTCATATGGGCACAGCTCTAGCCATTGAAGCCATCTGGGGAGTGAACCAGTGGATGGAAGACCTCTCTATCTCTGCCTCTCTCTGACTGTAACTCTGCCTCTCAAATGAATAAATCTTTTTTAAAAAAAGATTATATAAAATCACATTGGGCTTTGTGGCTAAGGTGTATGAATATATGAGTTATAAATGAATTTCATGTTTAGGCTTGGGTCCCATCTCCAAGATACCTCATTATGTATAATATAAATATTCCAAAATCATTAAAAAAATCAACATCTGAAACATTTCTGGTCCCAACCATTTCAGGTGGGAATATTCAACCTGCACAACTATTTCCCTACTATTGGACATTTGGACATTTAGACATTTTTCATTTTATTTTTTTCCTTTTTTTAAAAAAAACTTTTATTTAGTAAATATAAATTTCCAAAGTATAGTTTATGGATTACAATGGCTTCCCCCCCCCATAACTTCCATCCCACCCGCACCCCTCCCATCTCCCGCTCCCTTTCCCATTCCATTCACATCAAGATTCATTTTCAATTATCTTTATATACACAAGATCGATTCAGTATATATTAAGTAAAGATTTCATCAGTTTGCACCCACACAGAACATAAAGTGCAAAATGCTGTTTCAGTACTAGTTATAGTATTAATTCACATTGGACAACACATTAAGGACAGAGATCCTACATGAGGAGTAAGTACACAGTGACTCCTGTTGTTGACTTAACAATTTGCCTCTCTTGTTTATGGCGTCAGTAATTGCCCCAGGCTCTAGTCATGAGTTGCCAAGGCTATAAAAACAATATTTCAGGCCGGCACCACGGCTCAATAGGCTAATCCTCTGCCTTGTGGCGCTGGCACACTGGGTTCTAGTCCCAGTCGGGGTGCCGGATTCTGTCCCGGTTGCCCCTCTTCCAGGCCAGCTCTCTGCTGTGTCCCAGGAGTGCAGTGGAGGATGGCCCAAGTGCTTGGGCCCTGCACCCCATGGGAGACCAGGAGAAGCACCTGGCTCCTGCCTTCAGATCAGTGCTGTGCGCCTGCCACAGTGCACCGGCCGTGGCGGCCATTGGAGGGTGAACCAACAGCAAAAGAAGACCTTTCTCTCTTGTCTCTCTCTCACTGTCCACTCTGCTTGTCAAAAACAAAACAAAACAAAACACACACACACACACACAAACAAAAACAAAAAAAAACAATACTCCAGTACTTATATTGCTAAGGAAATTGCATATATTTAAGAACTTTTTGGTAGTGGGTGTTGTGACACAGTGGTTAAGTCTGTGCTTGGGATACTTGCATCCCATATCAGGGAACCTGAATTTGAGTTCTAGCTTTGCTTCCAATTCAGCTTCCTGGTAATGTGCACCCTGGGAGGAAAAATACTCGAGTCCCTGCTACCCACATGGGACACCCAGACTGAGTTCCTGGCTCCTGGTGTCGGCCTAGCTCAGCTCTGCTAGTTGAGGGTATTTGGGAAGTAAACCAGTAGATGAAAGATTCTGTCTCTGTCTCTGTCATTCTGCCTTTCAAATAGAAGGAAATAAGTAAATACAACTTAAAAAAAAAAAGAATTTACATGGGGGGAAGACATTTGGCTTAGCAGTTAAGATGCCCACATTCCACATTGGAGCACCTGGGTTTAATACCCAGCTCTGGCTCCTGACTCCAGCTTCCTGCTAATGCAGATGCTGGGAGGAAGCTGTGTTGGCTCAGGTAGCTGGGCTCCTGAAAGATGGATTGAGTTCCTGTGTATCAGTTTTGGCCTTGCCCGTACCCAGCCATTGTGGGCATTTGGGTAGTGACCCAATGGATGGGAGCATGTTTTCTCTCTCTCCCTCTTTCCTTCCCCCTCTCCCACCACCTCAATAAATAAAAATTAAAAAAATGTTCCCAAGACAAATTCCAAAGAATGAAAATACTGCATCAAAGATTGTGTATCATTTTAAGGTTTTAAGTCTTTTACAAAGTTTATACTTTCCCACAGCATATAAAAATTTCATTTCTGTTTTGCTATTTTAAAATATCTTTGACCACATATAGAGGCTGGCGCCGTGGCTCACTAGGCTAATCCTTTGCCTAGTCCCGGTCGGGGCGCCGGATTCTGTCCTGGTTGCTCCTCTTCCAGTCCAGCTCTCTGCTGTGTCCCGGGAAGGCAGTGGAGGATGGCCCAAGTGCTTGGGCCCTGCACCTGCATGGGAGACCAGGAGGAAGCACCTGGCTCCTGGCTTTGGATCGGCATCCTGGCTTCAGATCGACGCAGCACGCCGGCCGTAGCGGCCATTTGGGGGGGTGAACCAACAAACGGAAGACCTTTCTCTTTCTCTCTCTCTAACTCTGCCTGTCAAAAAAAAAAAAAAAAAAAAGGAGCCTATTACGGGGGCCGGCGCTGTGGTGCAGTGTGTTAACGCCCTATGGGCACCGATTTGAGACCCGGCTGCTCCTCTTCCGATCCAGCTCTCTGCTATGGTCTGGGAAAGCAGTACAAGATGGCCCAAGTCCTTGGGCCCCTGCACCCACATGGGAGACCCAGAAGAAGCTCCTGGCTTCAGATGGGTGCGGTTCCGGCTGTTGTGGCCAATTGGGGAGTGAAGCATAGGATGGAAGACTCTCTACCTCTCTATGCCTCTCCTCTCTCTGTATAACTCTTTCAAATAAATAAATAGAAAAAGAAAAGAGCCTGTAACAGTTTTTAATCATTTGCATGATTGTTTTAAGTTGACCAATAAGAGATGATGAGATGATTTATAAATATACCCTTTCATCTGTAATAGTTTTAAAAAATTGTTATATATGTTGTATAATATATTGATATATATTAGCATTTTCTTTGTAATTGTGAATGGGTCCTGTTTTACTACTATATATTCCAAATACCATGATTATAAAGGAAGTGCTTGCTTTTCATAACAATTTTACATCTTGACACTTTTCTAAGTTGTACAGATATTACTCCTAATAGTTATTCAGCTAATTCTGTTGGGTGTTTTATTTGACAACCATAGCATCTGCAAATGGTGATAATTTTATTTTCTATAATACCTCTTTACTTCTGAAAAATCCTAATGCATTGCCTGGGGTTTTCAGAAAGCCAGTATATGATTATGGGAATAGATGACAGCCTTTTCCTGGTTTTCATGGAAATACCTCCAAGCACAAATCTGAAGTTTCTTAGGAAATGTGTATTATTCTTTATAATAAAAACATGATTTTTAAAATTTTTAATTTATAATTATTTTTTATGAAGAATGGATTTTGGATTTTAATTAACATATTTAGAGCACCTATAGCAGACATGGGGAACACTTGGGCCATGGGGCGAATTAGGCCTGCGAGATCATTTGGTCTGGCCCTACCACAGCAACCACAGGCGAGACTCTGAATTCATTAAGTCCATAGCAGGCTAATTTTAAGCTGATAATTTTGCATGGCCCATGAAAGATGTCATAAGTATCCAAATGGCTTTGGCAGAACAAAAGATTCCCCAGCCCTGATACAGGGGTGGCTGATGATCGTTTTCCATGGAGCCATCCTTGGATTCTCAAAATGAATTTTAAACTCTAGATTTAGGTTTCTTACAATACTTGGTGCATGTTAGTGGTATTCCTTTCATATTTTTGGTTATATCCATAAGTGAGTTTGAGGCTAATCTGGGTTTCATTTTGTGACATGATTGTCAAATGTTGATACCAGGTTTCTACCACCTTAGTGTTTTGTCATCTTGAGCTTTGGAAAAATGTGTATCTGTGATTCTATTTGCCCTCTTAGTTATAATTGTCTTTACCTTCACTCTCTTTCCTCATTATACTTGCCAGAGACTTTCTAAATATTCATTAACCAGTTAACTGTAAAACCCAGCTCTGGATTAACTGATCAGCTTACCTGTTTGTTGCCCTTACATCCCATTTCTCATGAATTTCCTACCATTGTTTATGGGTCTGCTTTTTTAAAAAAAGTTTCTCTGTGGGACCTTAGTTAACAGAGAGCATTAACCCTGCCTCCCTCCATTGCAGACTCTCTGTGGTTGGCAGTAATTGTATGATCTCCTTCTGGTTTCTTTAAAAAAAAAAAAAGCCAGGTTTGAAGCATTTTATAAAACCACTTCCGGGTAGAACTGAACATTCAATGTGACTCCCTGTGGCTTCCTCATTTCCTCTTTTTTGAGTGCTGGGTTGCTGGGACCACTGCATGCTTATTGGGTCTGATTCCGGTGTCATCCCTTCGGGGGCCTCTGCTTTCTGTTTGCAGACATTGCTGTGGTGGAGATGAGCGATGCCTTCCGGCAGCCCTCCTTGTTCTACCACCTTGGGGTGAGAGAGAGCTTCAGCATGGCCAACAACATCATCCTCTACTGTGACAGCAACGCAGACTCTCTGCAGTCGCTCAAGGTACCTCCCTGCTGACTCAGCGCTGAACATAAACACCAATGTTTCCGGGCTGCCTCCCTGACATCCAAAGCTTTTTCAGTAGCTTGTGTTTGCCACAGGATGCTTTAGTCAGCGTGATAATTAATGCACCCATTACCAGTTACATGGCGAGGTTCATCTAGAAGTCAATATGGAAATTTGGTGAGATGCCGGTAGGAAAAGACAGAGGCTGTGTTGGAAGGAAGTCATCAGTGCACACATTAGAGAGAGGAGGAGAGATTGCACACGGTCTGGTCAGGTCCCCTGCTGTGTCACCCTCAGGGTTTCATGCCCACTTGTCTTCAGCTAACGCTAACAGGGCGAGTTTTACTTGAGATTGCTCAGAGTTGAGATTTCCTCTGAGTGCCCCAGGAAAATTAGCATCCTCTGTCATTGAGGCATCGTTTCAATTAAGGGATGGGAGAGGAGGAATAAAACTGTGTATGTCTAAGAATTCACCCTGGCCCAGTGACGCTCTCTCCACTGCTAGGAGCTTACTGAGCAGTTCTTCCATCTCAGAAGGTGGCCTGGGAAGCTTTGCAGGGCCAGGTGATTTTACGCTGTGTGATTCCTTGAGAAGCATCTCACAGTTCAGTGAAACTCATGCTGACACTAAGCTCCTGTCTCCTTTGTGGAATTTCCAGCTTGCTTTGTGTGGCTCTTTCTCATCTCTGTCTTCCAGTGACCAAATCTGAGTCAGCCTTGGAACGGGGCACCCCAGAACCCGAAACTGTATTTCTCATGGTTCAGCATTGTCACATGATAAACTCTAACCCCAAATCTGTGCAAAATGTAGTGGTATTTTGCTTTTATCTGAAAAGCACTGTGGCTTTCTTTGAAAAACCTGCGATGTCATTTAGTGAACATACATTCTGCAGGCCAGGCATAGTGCTGGGATGGACAGCCATCTGCCTTCTAGAATCTTCTGAAATAGGATTTGAGAGTAAGAGATTTGCCCCTGCTGGGCCTCAATTTGTTTTTCACCTTGAGCAATCCTTTATGCAACCTCTACTTAATTCCCCTCCAGATTTACCCCTTTAATCATTGTATGATAAAATTTTTAACTTCATTTTAATTAAATTTTTGATTGTCTACTGTCTGTAATATGTATCAGCAATTGATAGAAGAATAAGATTATTTTATTCTTGCTCTCAATTTTTCTTTGGATTAAGCTTATTTTCAAGCAGGAATTGTTACACTAGAGATTTTGTACTCACACCCAATTTTTGCTCCTTTCTTACTGGTATCTGGCGATTTAATTTTATGGCCATTCTTTCCTAGAAAAGTTATTTTTTTCTTAATGAGGTAAAATTACATTTTGAAGAAAGAGCTAAAGCTCATCTTATCAGAAATGTGTAGGAGGTATGTAGATTGGCTTATTTTTGGCCAGCCTTTGTGTAGGAGTGTCATTGGTATGTGAATAAAGTAGTTCTTTTTTTTAAAGATTTATTTGAAAAACAGAGTTAAAGAGAGAGGTGGAGCCAGAGAGAGAGAGATCTTCCCATCTGCTAGTTTACTTCCCAGATGACTGCAATGGCCAGAGCTGAGCTGATCCAAAGTGGGTGCAGGGGCCCAAGGACTTGGGGCCATCTTCTACTGCTTTCCCAGACCATAGCAGAGAGCTGGGTTGGAAGTGGGATGCTGGTGCTACAGGCCGGGGGCTTAATCCACTGCACCACAGCACTGGCCTCATGAATAAAGTAGTTCTTTAAAAAAGCTGGTGATGTCTAAACCCTACACATTCATATTGTGCATAACTGCCTGTTTCTGAGCACTTTCCAGGGGCAAGGGGCCAAGTGATTTGCCCACACACATTTTTGCATTTACTCCTGAAAGAAACTGCCCTCCGAGGTATACTGATATTCTGTCACCATTTTATAGAACAAGATGAGATCCAAATAAATGCAGTCATTTGTCTACAGTGATATACGTAGGAAGATAGCTGTAGCCACTAACATCCATTTTTAGTTATAGTCAGCTCTCCATATCCACAGGGTTCCATGGTTTCAACCAACCACAAATGGAAAATATTAGGGAAAAAAATTACATATGTACTTAATACTATTCCCTAAACCACACAGTTTAACAAGTGTAACCAGTGTAACAACTACATAGCATTTACATTGTGTTAGATGTTAGGTTTACATTATATTAGATATTATAAGTAACTTAGATTTGATTTGCAGTGTATCTGAGGATGTGCATGGGTTAATTGCAAACACTGTGCCTTTCTAAAAGGGACTGAAGCATCTCCATGTTTTGATATCCGAGGAATGTCCTGGAACTGGTCCACAGATACCAAGGAGTGTCTATCCTTCTATTTAGAAGCATATCAAAAACTGTGATCATTTAGAAAAGTCCATTGACTATGCCTGCTTACGTGTCCCATGCAACATTTGCCTTTTCTCTTCTCCCTGCCATTAATTTAAGCTTATTGAGATTGTCCTAACCTTGGCTGTTCATGGTGTCTGATTGCAGAGGACAGGATATCTGGGATAAGAACTGTTTTTTGCAATCCCAGTGATTTTCTCAGAGCCCTAAAAGTTCCTCAGGACCTCTGCTACTGAGAAAGGTGTGTGTGTGTGTGTGTGTGTGTGTGTAGTTTTATTCATTTCTATTGCAGTTGGTAATAGGGCTAACTCTATTATCCCTACTGTCCATCAACAGAGAGGAAAACTACAGTGAAAAAAGGCAGACCAGGAGATATTTAGAATATTGTATCATGGGGCCAGCACTGTGGTGTGGTGGGTAAAGCCACTGCCTGCAGTGCCGGCGTCCCATATGGGCGCTGGTTCAAGTCCCGGCTGCTCCACTTCCCATCCAGCTCTCTGCTATGGCCTGGGAAAGCAGTAGAAGATGCCCCATGTCCTTAGGCCCCTGTGTGGGAGACCCAGAAGAGGCTCCTGGCTTTCGGTTTGCGCAGTTCTGGCCATTGCAGCCAACTGGGAAGTGAACCAATGGATGGAAGGCCTCTCTCTCTCTCTCTCCCTCCCTCCCTCTCTCTCTCTCTCTCTCTCTCCCCCTCCCTCTCTCTCTCTCTCTCTCCCCCTCTCCCCCCCCTTCTCCCCCTCCATCTCTCCTTCTCTCTCTGTGTGTAACTCTGACTTTCAAATAAATAAATAAATCATAAAAAATACTATATCATGTAAGGATTAGCCGGATTTTAAAAAAAAAAAAAAAATGGAGCCTTTCTCTGTTTCCCCAGGGGCAAAGACAGAATTAGAATGCTGTTCTTGTCATATATCTCCCTTCACTTAGGTTGATTCCGTGGACATCAAAGAAAGTACAGCTGCACTGGTTTATTTTCATTTACTGCTCTTTGTTGAAGACAGCAGTTTCAATTTAGAGATAATCCTCAGGAAGAAATTATAGGAAAAAATTTTAATTTAAGTTCCTTGAAAAATAGTTGCTGGGAGCTATAAAAGTACTTAAAATTTATGTCTGAGTTGTCATCTTTAAGAATTATTTAGAATTAATCATTCACGTTCTTGCATTAAGATTTATAACCGATGTTTTACATCACAAGTACTATTTCATTGTAAGAACAAAATATCTTACTTGTTTTTCAAAAAAAGATCATTGCATTCTGAGAGGAAAGCTGATTCTCGGCATTCTAACAATGAATTTTTCACCACTTTAAGTAAATGTCACAAGTGTGTAAAAGTCCCAAGAACTTCTCCTATGCTTATTGACGTTTATTGGGAGAGACTGTACTAAGACTGGTGTTATCTTGAAAATAAGAAATGTCACAGTTCTTTTCTGGTTAATTTCCTGCTTTGTAAAGTGATTAGGCTTCACTCGGGGTTCCCCAGTAAAGGGCAGTGTAAACCAGGACACTGCTGGCCAGCGAGCTGGCATCTGCCTGGAGTGCAGCAGATCCCACACAGGGCTCCGGAGGAATGGCTGCCTGCTGTGTAGATGAGGAAGTGTTTTCAATGAAACACGTGGGGCCCAAGGGGATTTCCCCTCTACCCGCTGATGAGTCTGCTGAAACCAGCTGACAATAGACAGATTAACAGGAGAAAAGGCCTACAAATGTATTGACCTTACACGCACAGGGGAAGCATACCAAGTATGAAGAGTCAAAGAAAGGCCAGATGGTTGAAGTGTCAGTATCCTGTTCATAAACGAGATATAAGGTGGGCCTGTGAACAATTTTGGAGGAAAGGTAAATGATTTTTAGGGGAGATGCATGGACCCAAGGAACAGGCAATATAGGATAAACTTTGCCTGCACTCTGATTGTGATGTCAATTCTAGTCTTTCTTCCTATAAATTAATCTCCAGGTGATCCAGGCTTTAGGCCGACCCCTTCTCATAGTTAGGGAGGAAAAGAGGATCCAGAGACAGACGGAAGAGAAAGGAAAGAGATGGGAAACGGGACACCTTGGTTCGGAGACTGTTGTTTAGTTTAGGGTACTCAACACGTCAAAGCAGTTATGTTGAGCTCTCATTTTCTGAACCCTGACAACTGTTTCTTTTGTCACCAGCAATTGCTTTTTTGACAGGCAGAGTGGACAGTGAGAGAGAGAGACAGAGAGAAAGGTCTTCCTTTCTCTCTGTCTCTCTCTCTCTCTCTCACTGTCCACTCTGCCTGTCCAAAAAAAAAAGCTCCCACACGATATAGACAGTAGGTGTGAGGAGCCAGAAAACTTACATGCGGCTGGTGGGACAGTGCATTGGTACTGCCTTTTGAAGAGCAATTTGGGAGTATCTAACAGTGTTAATGAGCTCTTCACCAAGACTTAGTAATTCCTACCCTAGCTGTGTACTGTAAAATAAAATCTTTCACACGGGTAAGGAGATGTAATCAAGAATGTTTATGTTGTTTGTAATAGCCCTTCCGCCCAAAGGAGATGGTAAATATCTATTAACAGGAGAATTAAAAAAAATACCTTTTGGGATACCCACATAATGGAATATTATAGATCACTTAAATCACCAGGGAGCAGGCATGCCTGAAATATTTTATAATTGATACTT